CTCCGCCAGGCCTCAGGGACATGAGCTCGGGGTTGTGACACTCAGCCACCACTCAGAATTCCTGTGTGGTCACTCTGGACTTCTGAATTCTGAGGCCTGACTTCCAAATAAACAGAGGCTCCTACAGGAACAAAGTCCCAGAGGTCCCTGCGCCATCTGATGTGGGTCCCTCATGGAGACAGTGGGGACCGTGTAGGGACTTGTCCCAATGGCAGTCCACTCCCTGGCCTCGCCCTCCGCTGCTGCAGAGATAATTTCACCAGCTCCAGAGGAAGATTTTCATTTTGCGGATAAAGAAACGAGGTCGTGTGGAGAGCGTGGTGTGGGTCGCAGGCAAGTTACATCATCAAGGAGACTTTGTAAAATTCCGCCGATTGTGGAATTGTGGGCTGTTTTTCCACTTTGGGGTAAGGAATTTGGACTGCAGGCCGCAGGCCCTGCCCTCAGCCAGGCCGAAAAAGAACTGGTGAGGAGGCCTGGGGCTGCCTGGCGGGCCCTCTCCTCCCGGTGGCCACCTGGAGATGCCACCTCGTCCTGACCCTCCCTCTGACGCTCACCTGTTCCTCCAGGAGCAGAGGAAAGGGAGCTGCTGGGGTTTGGCCAGGCCCCGGGCAGAGTGAGAGTCGGCTTCTGGAAGGCGTTGACTCACACTGACCCGGGACGGGGCCGTGTGCAGAGGGCGCCGCGGGGAGACCTGGGCCTCACTCCTCTGGGGATGGATGTGAATCACCCATCTCATTTAGTCACACTGGCCAGCCCCCAACTTTCCCGGTAGAGCCACGAGCCCCAAGTGAGGTGGGGACCCGTCATAGGAGGAGAGGCAGAGGGGCCGAGCTGCCCTTGCTCTGCAGGCTCCGCGTGGCCCTGGGAAGGGGCCAGAAAGGACCGTGTCCCCTTGGAGTGCAGTGGAGGCTGGAGATGGACCCCCACCCTTGCAGGTCAGAGCTGCTGGGGACACCATAACGCATGCCCACTGGTTCACGCCCACTGGTTCCTTTGTGGATCAGCAACCGCCAGTGCCTGGGCCGCCCAGCCGTCTGCGCTGGCGCCTGGTGTCCCTTGCTGCTTTATCTCCAGAGGCCTGGTGGGTGGGCTCCCGCCAGGCGGGTCCCAAACAGCCAAGCGCCAGGCAGGCCTGCGTTGGAGGAGCCGCCTGTTGCAAGGAGCTGCACAAACGCAGCCGTCCTCTGGGGCATTCCAGAGGCCAGATGTGTGAGCCGGGACGTCGCCTGCCAGCCGCAGCCGGTCCAGGCTGTGCTCTGCTGGTGGACCGTCCTCCTGGCCTTCTCCTCCTCCCTTTCCTCGGCATGAAAGAAACTCTGGAGCTGGCGGCTGCTCCTCGGCATCTGGCGGAACATTCTGCCCCTCTGGCTCCCCGGGGACAGCTGCTGACTCATATTTCCATTTTCAACGCAAGGTCAGGCACTAGATCTTTCCATGACCATATGGCATCAGGATGGAGGACACGAGCTGGGATGGCAGGCCCGGGTTCAAATCCTCCCTCTGCTGCTTGTTGGCTGTGAGGTTTCAGGCAACTAACTCGCCCTTTCTGAGCTCCGTTTGTAAAGACCACAGACTCTGACGTCTCTCTTGGAAAAGCCCCTTCTTGCCTGCAGCTCTGGAAACGGCATGCTCCCTCCCGGGGGTTTCTCTCTGTATACCCCCCCTTCATAATCCAAGGAAAGAGGAAGTTGACATCAGCCTTTCTGAGATCCACACAGACTATGCCGACTCACCAGGGTCCTACTCACAACAGGCGCAGAAGGTGCCCAGGCTGTTGGGTTGCTCACCGGGAGTGTGGTGTGTGGAGTCCCATCACTCTCACGAGACGTGCAGCGTCTGTTGGGCAGCAGGCTTCGTGTTCAAATGATCGGCAGGCCATGTGGATGAGCCCGTGCAGGACAGGCTGGGCCACTCGGTGATACCTGGAGGGGCAGTGTCACTAGTGCATTGCGGCTTAATGGTGTCTTCAACTCACGATGGCTTTATTGAAACACGAACCCTTTGTAAGTCAAGGAGCATCCATACGCTATTTCTCATGTGCTGGGGTTCAATTATCATTTGCTATTAACAGAATTATTTGATAGGTAAGGAAACCGAGGCCCGGAGAGGTAAAGTAACTTGCCAAGGCCACACAGCCCATAAATGGCGGAGCTGAGAGGCTCACCTCGGCGGTCTGACTTTGGGTCCATGCTCTTAATCATTAAGCTGAGAAGGAGGAGGACAAAGAGGGTGAGGGGGAGGGCCTGGTTCTGGCCTAGAGGACTCTGCTGCCATTGGTCCAGCACCACCATGACCGAGTCTCATCCTCGCCCGTGACAAGAGGCAGGACAGGGCTCCCTGCCCTCTGGACCAATCCAGCAGTCAAGAAGCTCCCAAGCCCCAGACCTGCGGGTCTCTGCGGTTCAACGTACCCTGTGGCCGTGAGCACCTGACTCAGCATCCTGGGCCTCCATTTCCCCACCTGCCAAGTGAGGGTGCTCTTGCTCATGCTCAGGGAAGGCACCAGAAGGGCAGTGCTGGGTGTGGACTGGGCCCATAAACGCCAGTTGACCCAGGTCAACCCTGCAGCCCAGGCAGCCTGGTCTGGGAGCCGGGCCTGACCACTGAACTCACTGCCTCCCCGGCCAGGGGTCTTTCTAACACTTGCATTGCAGCACCAAACCCCCAAACCAATCAGATGCTGGTGACAAAGGACCCTCTGAGACTACGCCTCCGGGCTCAGGATTATCAGGAAAAAGGAAACAAAGCAGGGTTGGCCTTTCCGGAAGTGAGGGAAGATGCTCCAGAGACAGCGGCGGGGACGTCACTGTCACCTGCACCGACCCCACTGTGTGCTCATCATCCCAGGCCTTTCCCACCTCAGCTGCTCTTCTGGTCACTCAAGGTCCACAGGCCCATCTGCTGCTGTTCCTGAGGGACGAGCCAGCCCTGTCCTGGCCTCCCCTCGGCTCCCATGCCCTTGTCCGAGTGCTGACACGTGGATGTCTTCCCTCCTGGTCCCCTTTGACCAGACTGGGCCGTCACCCGTCTCTGGCCTGCTTCCCCAGTCTCCAGCCTTGCCCGCCCTCGGGGCACCAGGGAGCGCCCCCAGCAGGCCTGGGAGGGAGAGTGGACCCCAGAGGACTGTGCTGGCGGAGCCCTGGCCCCTGAGGCGGGCCTGGCCCGCGACACAGGTCTTTAAATATGTGTCCAGTGAATCATGCAGCCCTTCCCTTGAGGATTCGGTCAGTTCAACTTCAGAAAAAGCAATGAGGAGCCCGTGTCTGTGGGCGTTTGTCCTGAGCTCCAGAAAAATCCTTCAGAAGAGAAGCTTCAACGAGAGACTAAGCACCTGGGCTCCTCAGGCCGCGCCTTGCCCTGCGTCATTCCTTGAGCATCAGTCACTCCCAAGCACTGGACGCTGCAGAGACACCAAACTGTGTGAAGGTCCCCACTGCGGAAGGAACGGGGAGTCCTCAGCCATCACTCAGTGTCCTCCCACAGGACACCCGCTTTGTCTCCAGATAAGCGCTAGGCAAACAGGGAACAGGATGTTCCCTGGGGCCGCAGGTCCCTGGAGCCACAGATATCTAACCTCAGTCCCCGGGAGGGCCAAAGGCACTTCAGGGACCCCACACTCCCCTCAGGGAGTGGCCCTGGAGGCTGGCCAGCGGGCTCAGCACCTCGGCCACCTCGCTCACCTCCTGTACCCCGAGTACGGACTGAACTCTCCGGGGCTCCGTTCCACGGTCTGGGAAATGGGAATGACAATTAGTTCCTCAGAGATCCAGTGGGGATTGCAGGAAGTGGCATGAGTTGGCTGGTGGGACATCACCATGATGACCGTGTGGGTGATGACATGGTAGACACTCGATGGGCGGCAGGGAGAGGGGGAGGGGGTCACTTCTCCCCTGAGCAAGGTGGCAACGGTGACAAGGTGGTGGCTGGAGCTGGGCCCCCGAGAGGAGGGCTGGATCCCACACCAGGAGGTGGCAACGAGTGCGTCGGTTCAGAGTAGAAAAATGAACGATTCGGGTTGTTAAAACAAATACAGGATCTAAACCAAATGACTGGGCTCCTTAAAAGTAAGAGGCCGCCTTAAAAATAGGACGTCGCCTTGCCTTAGTCAGGGGGCAGAGGCGGCTACTGGGAGAGCTCCCTGCTTCAGCGGCACTGGGAAGCTGGGGTTCCTGGAGCCGCCCCTGGCTGGTGCGAAACCCTGAGGCTCAGTCATTCAAACCCTGGGCCCAGAGTGAAAGGCAAGTGTTGGGGGCAGGACCCACGTTAGAAAGAGCAAAGCTCCCAAGGCAGCCGAGCAAGCCAGGGGCAAGTGGTCAAGCGTGCTGGCGGCTCCGGGGGCAGATTCACAGGCCAGCAGACATGGGTCCCAGGAACCCCTGCCACAGGATGCCTGGAAGGCGGACACCGGGCTCCCGGGCCCTCGTCCCCTTCTCCTGCCTGGTGTCCTGCAGTCACACTCCTCTGCCTCTCGCATACAGGGACACGCCACCTTCTCTGCCCAAGCTCTAATCCCAGCTCTGCCACATGCTTGCTGTGTGGACCGGGGCAAGTCACTCCACCTCTCTGAGCCTTTACATTTCATCTATAAAAGGGATCACAGTGCCCACTTCATTTATGTGAGGAACACGTGAGCCATGCCTGGCACACAGAGGGGCTCAGAACACATTGGTTCCTTCTCTCCCTTCTGGCCTCGTCCTCTCATGCACTGATGATTTCTTGCTGGGGTGCCCATGATTCTACAGGCCATTGGTCATTGGTGACGTCCCTTGAAGAACGTGACATGCAATCAATTCATCTAGCACAGCCTGGGCTCTTGAGCGAGGCCCGGGTGGTCATTAGGCAACTCTGTGGCCCGTTACTGTTAGATTGTCCGTGAACTTGGCGCCAGCTGTTCACTGACCTTCTAGCCTCCCGGCAGAGCCCTGCGACCTCCCAGGATGAGGGTAGCTGAGGAAGGAGAGATGTGAGCTTCAAACAAGAGACTGCGTGGGGGACAGGCCAGGGCCCACTTCCTGTTTCACAGGGGCTGAGCTGTGTCTCTCTTCCCTGGGCAGCACGTTCTGTTCCCTTCCCCAGAGGAGCCTCGGGGTCCAGCCAGCCTGCTGACCAGGGCTCTGCTAACGGGAAAGTCAACCACGCAGCACCCCAGGTCATCAGCTCACCCTGATGAGCCAGCCCCGGGGATTCCGCCAGCCAGGGACTGTTTGAGAAGCAGGAACCCAGCGTCCGTCACAGGCTGTGTGGTCACCGCCTGCCAGGGCTGCGCAGGGTGAGTGGGGAAAGGGCAGATTGCGGCAACAAGCAGGGAACCAGGCACTCAGGCTTCAGTGCCATCTTCCCGGGGCTGTTACAGAAGCTGATTATGTAACTGATTCACTCAGGACTTCAGCAAGCAAGCATTGAGTGCCGACTGTGTACCAGCTACTGTCTACTGGCTCTGGGGGTCCAGGGGGCACAGATCCATCCCTCCTTCCTCTAGGAGCAGACACTCTGGTACAGGTGAGGACACCCAGAGTGTCCTCATGCATGGATGAGTGCTTACTGTATGCCGAGTCCCATGCCAGACATGGAGCTGGCCTTCACCCCAGTTTGTCCTCCTGATCCCTGGTCACTGTGAGGCACACATTTTATGCCATCCCATAAAGACCTCCTGTGAAGACAACACTGCCCTCTTGACCCCCACTCACCTTCAGGTCAGGGCCTCTCAGGGGGCAGTGAGTCAAGGGGGCTGCAGGGTGGTACCTGGCCTGTCCCTCAGCATGGTGACCTCAAGTGTCAGATAACAGCGCCTGCCCACCAAGCACTGTCTCAGCCCCGCCTGTGCCAGGCTGCAGACCCTGGGGCCCTGTCCCTCCCGCCCTTCCCTCATCATTATTACCTGGCCTCCTTATTACCTGGCCTCCTTACTCACCGGTCTCTCCTTCTGTCACAGACAGAGTTTCTCTCCTTCTTTCTGGGCAAGAACAGCCTTTGAAGGAACGGGACTGTAGGTAAGGGTCCCTTCCCTTGGCCTCTCCACAGGAACTGTTATCCTGACGCTGGGGCTCTGCCTAGGGAGCCCCTGGGAGGCAGAGGAAGAGGCAACCAGACACGGGGCAGAGGCAGAGGGGAAGGTGGGGAGCCCAGGGCCGGGTGACCTCTGGTGGGCAGTGGGGGGGATGCTGCCCACAGAGGTCAGCGCTTTCAGCTGAGCTCCGGTGGCCACAGGAAGTCACTGGGTCAGGGCTGCCCAGGCAGAGACCTGAGGGGGTATGGCCTTCCAGGACCTGGACCTCAGCTGGAGCACACCACGAGTTTGAGGCAGAGAGGGGACCAGGCAGCAAAAAGGCCAGGAGAGAGATGAGGGTCCTGAAAGGACAACTTGGAAAGGTCCCCACAGTTGACTAAAGTGTGATCCACCCAAGAAGTCATTGCTGGCCACTCTTCCATCCTCAGATGTTCTTGGGTGGGCAAGGGCCTGCGGTGGAGGGCGTCCACCTGTGGGCGGGAGCAGGGAATCTGAGCCTGAGGGCTGTGGAGGCTGGTCGTCCCCGGGTGGGTGGGCTGGACAGTGTCGCATCCTGCGGGAGGGATGTAGGGAGGGCCTCAGGAGCCGGGAGGAAGGAGCCTGAGAGGCCTGGAGAGGGAGGAGCCTGGGGGAGGGGCAGCGTCTGCTACACTCATGGAGGGCCAGAGGCGCCAGGCCTTTAAGACAGGGCAGGAGGATGCGTGCGTGTTAGCAGGCCCTGATCCCAGGTGACTGGCTCCCTGACAAGAAGAGGGGGTCATGCACCAATTAATTAATAATAAATAGTAAATAAATTAAAGGAAAGATCAGGACACACAGGAGACCCATGAGGCACAAGCCCAAAGCAGCCCACAGGGACACCATGGGGGGATGCATGTCGAGGGTAGAGGCCCCAGGAGACCAGAAAGCTGTGCCTCCACCCTGGACCTGCAGCCTCTAGAACCACGTTCCACGTTTCCGTTGTCCGGGTCTCCGTGTCTGTGGTGTCCACTGATAGGACCTCCGCAGACCTAAGTCTGAGGCCCTGAGACCCTGCAGCGGAGGGGAGGGGCAGGCACAGCCCCCTGGCCGCTGAGACAGCAGGACCCTGATGGCACCTATGTGGGTTCTGAGTGGGGAGGCCGCAGCAGGGATCGAAGCAGGGAGCGATGATGTGCCGCTCCGCAGTCAACGTGGTTTTCAGCGAGCTGTTTGGGACTCTGGTGGCGTGGTGGACATTCCACTGAAAATGTCACCAAATGCAAGGGAAGCCTGGGGAGTGGTGCTGGGGGAGAGAGGTTCCACTCAGACAAGAGAAGCCCAAGGTGGAGGGCTCAGGGTCCAGCTGCCCTCCACAGCCACTGCAGAGATGTGCTGTCCAGGCCCAGCTCGGGGCAGGTACTTAGTGAGCCACCCTCAAGTGCCGCCTGGATCCGGCTTCTAGGGGAAACCGAGGTTTAATAGCTGCAGGCAAAAATCCCTGGAGTGTCCTGGACCCTGTAGCCCTGGAGGGAGGGAGGGAGGGAGGGGAAAGGGAAGGGGGAGAGAAGGGAGAGAGGGGGAAGGAGGAGGGAGGGAGGGAAGGAGGAGGGAGGGAGGAGACGAAGGGGGTGGGGATGGAGGAAGGGAAGGAGTGAAAGGAGGAAGGGGAGGAAGAAAGGGAAGAGAGGAGGGAGGGGGAAGGGAGGGAGAGAAGAAGGAGGGAGGGAAGGAGGAGGGAGGGAAGGGAGAAGAGAGGGATGGAAGAAGGGGAGAGGGAGGGAGGGGAAGGAGGGAAGAGAGGAGGGAGGGAAGGAGGGAGGGAGGAAAGGGGAGAGAGGAAAGAAGGGCAGAGAAAGGAGGAGGGAGGTGGCGGTCACTGTACCCAACAGGTACTCTCTGGCTCCTTCTGAACCGGGGTCAGTCTTAGCCTGGCCTGACTATCTCCCCCAAACCACAAATCCAACTCTAAAATCTTGCCAAATATGTGGATCTTAATTTTAAGTGTCTTTATTATGCAATATAAAGAGTATGCATGTAGCCGGGCATGGTGGTGCACGCCTGTCATCCCAGCTACACTGGAGGCTGAGGCAGGAGGATCACAGGTTCAAGGCCAGCCTGAGCAACTTAGTGAGACCATTTAGAAATAAGAAATAAAAAGGGCTGGGATTTAGCTCAGTGGGAGAGTGTGCCTGGACTCAATCTCCAGTCCTGAGGGAGGAAAAAAAAAATATGATTAGACAAAGAGGAATGAAGGGAAGGGGGACAGGAAGGGGGTGGCAGTGGGACGCTCTGGACTTCACTTTCCTATTCACATATGAATACACAACCAGTGAAAGCACATCACGCACAACCACAAGAACGGGAGCTCCTGCATGTGTGTGCGTGTGTGTGTGTGTGTAAACCCATTCTACTGTCCTGTGTATCTAAAAGGACAGAATTTTTTAAAAAATACTTTTTTAGTTGTAGTTGACACAATACCTTTATTTTATTCATTTATTTTTATGTGGTACTGAGGATTGAACCCAGGGACTCCCACGTGCTAGGCAAGTGCTCTACCACTGAGCCACATCCCCAGCCCTAAAAGGACAGAATTTTTAAAAGGTAAAAGAACAAAGAGGCTGCAGGATCCGCCCAGAGTCCCTGACAGATTCCACAGGAGCCTCGGGTGGAGTGGAGGAGGCTGGTGGCGGCCGGGCTCCCCAGGTCTGCAGTAAGCTGCTCACACACCCTGATACTGTAAGAAGTGGGGCCTGGTGGGAGGTCTCCCAGTCACTGGGACCTGAGCCCCGAGGGGACACTGGGACCCCAGCCCCTTCCTCTTTTCTGTTTCCTCGCCACCACAAAGCGAGCACTTTTGCTTTTCCACCTGCTGCAGTCAGGATGCGCTGCCCCACCACTGGCCCCAAAGGGACAGGCCCAACCAGAAATAGTCTGGAACCTCCCTAACTGGGAGCCTAAATAAACCCCTTCCCTCTATAAGCTGATTCTCTGAGTGCCTGTTGGAGTCATGGAGAGCTGATAGCAGAAGCGGCCCCCCAGGGAAGGCCAGGGGGACTCAGCTAACTGTTCTCCTCCCTTTTGAGCGGTTTCTTCCTTGGATCTTTGTACATTAATTTTAAAAATATAGAATTATCCCCTGGCACAGTCCTGTCCCTGACATTGCAGGGTCCAGAGAAAGACAGCAAAGGGGGCTCCTGACTACTGTGGCCCTGACCCAGCTTCTGGGCAGTTGAGCGGGGGACCCTGCGCAAGTGTGCTCTGCCTGCTCCCTCCTGCCCCGGTGGCCCCTGGTCCTCCCGCCCCAGGTCTGTCTTGTAAGGTCACACAGGGAGACGCTGATGGGGGCCTGGAGGAGGACAGGCATTCAGGTCTGAGGAAGCAGCGCATGGGCGGCCAGCACTGTGGTCAATACTGGGTCCACCCGTGGCAGGTCACCAGTGCTTTCTGCTTCATGTCCTCCCATTTTATTGGGATATTTTATATCAAGCAGAACATTCATTATGTTTATGCCCCCCCCCCCAATCATCCAGCCGATTCTGGAGGGCCCAAGGTGTCTGCCGAGGGGCCCCAGGGCGAGGAGCAGGAGGGAGGGGAGGCTGGGCATGGGCCACCCTGAGCAAGGTCTTTTTTTGGGTGGTTCCATTTTGGGGGCCAGGGGCTCTGGAGCAAATCCCCGTGTCTCTCTGAGCCTCAGCCTCCACTCTGCAAAATAGCGGGAGGGAGACCCACGGTTCAGGTTTTTGGAATCATCGAGTGACCGGGCGAATGAGTGACAGGAAGTGGAACAGGAAACCGAAATCTTCATTCCAATTTTTCAGTGTGATTTTTCAATGTGATTGTCACTATTTTTTAACCTGCGCTGATGCCAGGAAGGTTCTGACGGTCCTCCGAGGTGGTTTCAGCTTGCTTACTTCCTGGTCACAATCACTTCCTCCACCCGGGAGGCTGCGTCATCCCTCCCCCTCCTCTTACCTCAGCACTGTCCCCACCCTGCCCCTCCTATCAGCGCGTCACCAGGCCCCTCTCGGTCTGCCCAGCTCAGCCCCAGCTCAGCCTGGGGTGGGAAGCTGCAGCCAGCCCCACTTTCTCTTTCTTCCCCAGCAACTCTCTTGACCTTTACCCGTCCCCTGCCCTTTCAGACCCTCTTGCTCACCTCTGCAGCAGTGTGAGAGCTAGATCAGCACGGGAACCTTCCCCGGGGTTCACCAGTGTGTCAAAACTGGATCAAACTGAGGTTTTTAATCCCTAGATCAGAGGCCAGGTGGAGGGCCAACACAAACCACCCTGGGAGGGGACACTTG